AAAAAAAAAAAGAAAAAAAAAAAAATCTGCCAATTTGTTTAAAACCAACACCATCATTTTCTCATTAGTGAGTGAAACAAATTACTCTATTTTCGAAAAGTCAAAAAGGATAACAGTTTGCAAGAGCTATGGCGTCTTCCCATCCGCCATATTTTCATGTAAAACTCTTCTTCTTATGTATCATAATTTAGCATACATTAATTTCATTAATATTCCATTTTTTTATTTTTGGCTTTGTTCTCATAGTTTCGGATTGATTTTTGCAGATGATAAGCGAAGCAATCACCACGTTGAAGGATCGAACCGGGTCGAGCCAGCCGGCAATTGCGAAATTCGTGGAGGATAACTACGAGAAATCGCTCCCTACAAACTTCCGGAAAATCATGTCCGTCCAACTGAAGAGGCTCGTCAGATTGGAGAAGATCTCGAAGGTCAAGAGCTCGTACAAGATTCCAGCCACCTCAAAAACCTCGATTCCTCATAAGAAAACCGTCACGGCGGCCGGAAAATCTGCCGCGGAGAAAGCGAAGAAGAAGAAAACGAAGAGGCTGAGCGAGGTCAAAACGCCTGAGGCCGTGAAAAAAAAAAATCATGACAGCGGAAAAGAAGAAGTGGGCCCCATGGCTAGGGCCGGCTCGACTCCAGCGACGAAAAAAGGTAAGAAAAAGAAGTGAAAACGGAAGGATTAATTAACTAATTAATTAGGATTTGCTTGTGTTTTAGGGAGATGATTGCGTTTTTCTGATTTGTTTGTTGTGTTTTGTTTGGTTTTGTTTGAAGTGTTTTGTTGTTTTAATGGATGTGCTCTGAATATGTGAACGGTGATTGCAGCTTTTCTATTCGATTGTGTTCAGCTTTTTAGTAGTCCATTTTAGTACTTATTATAGTAATAGGAAATGTTACCTTTTCGTTACGGTATCAGTCTGGTGGAGTTTGTAACTATTAAATCAACTATCTTCATGATACAATAATAATTCAACGGTTACAAATCTTAACAGAATAATTTTTTATAACGAGACTGTAGCATCTCCTTTAATTATAGTGTTGATTTAAAATGTGATTTTTTCCTGCTTTGCATATTGTACTTGTGCCACGTATATAACAAAAAATAAAATTCCTTTGCGTATGTGATTTTTCAAACTAATATGGAGACAAACAAATATATGTCACCTTACTTAATTACTTGTAGCCTCTAAAGTCTAAGCCATCTAGAACTTTTATGACTCAAATGACATTAAAATGTGGCGTTACATTAGATTAGGAGGTTACATATCTAGTTACCCAATTTTTTATTTATTTTAATGGTTAGATGAGTCGATTATCGTATTCTTTTTGTTTTTTTATATAAAAAGATATTATTTTACATTTCAATACGAACATCTACGAGAAAGTATCGTTAACTAAACGAAAAATTTATCTAATAGCAAAAGAAATAGATTGATATGTTAATATTTTAAATATATGTATATCATAATACTAGTATACACCCGTGTATACACGGGTGCTTGCTAAATTTTTTCTTAAAATCTAAAATTAATGTGAAAAAGTAGTTGAAAATCTAAATACTTTTTACAAAAATATATATATTATTATATATTAGCATAAAAACATTTTATTTGTGTGACTTACCT